CAAGTTCATTGACTCTCCTCTGTCAGGTCTATTCTGCTATTGAGTCTATCAATGACTTTTTTTTGTTTCAGTTATTGAACTTTCTTTCAGTTCTAACATTTCCACTGGGTTCCTCTTTATACCTTCTATTTCTTTCATTATACTTTCTGCCTTTCCATTCATTTCAAGTGTTACCCTTACTTCTTGGATTATTTTATAATAATCTTCAACAATTTCAACATTTGTGTCATCTTTTCCCTGACATCTGTTGATTGTCTTTCCTCATACTAATTGACATTTTCCTGGGTTTTTGTATACTAAGTAATTTTGAATTAAGTACTAGACATTTTGGATATTATAAGTGCCTAGATCTTGTTTAAATCTTACGGAGAACTGTAATATTTTTGTTTTAGCATGCAGCTGACCCAGTTAGATTCAGAAGCCCTAACCTTCGTTCTGTGGTTGTGGTTCCAATGTCAGTTCAGTTTTAAAAGCTTTTGCAATGCTATTCACATCAGTTGTGCACTGCCCCATGGCCAATGTTGGTTCTGGACAGTGGTCTATCCCATACCTAAGTACTCAAGTGTATTATATGCCATTTAGCATTAGATATATGTACGCATGCATAGTTCAGGGGTGAGGCCAGGAATTATGGAGTTGCTCTCCTGAACGCATTCCCTCTCTGCCATCTCTCCGATACTTTCCAGTCCTCTGAAGCCCCACTTTTTGGTGGTCTGGCCCAAAACCTGGGCCTTCAGTTACCCTATTCGGCTGTGTATTTCTTGTATCTGGGGGCCAAGTTGTAGGAAAATAGAGGGAGAAAAAAATTAGTGAGTGTTTGCCCCACCCTTTTGGGATGTCAAAAGCAAACGTTACAGCATTATTTGATATGGTTTCAGTGTATGTAGATGTAATACATAAGGTAATGCAAAGTTTTAGGCAGCCATAGGCCCTCACTACCATCACTGCCATTGAAGCCACCACTGCGGGATTGCCAGGGGTGGGAGGGGTGCAGGAGAACAGAGAACAAAGACAGGAAAACATGGGGTAGCCCTTCACCTCAGTAGGAAGAGTCCTCTTTCCTCTCCTGCAGCCACAGCTAGAGGGCTTCTGCTGCAGCTTCCCAGTCCTCCCCTTAGGGCTGGGGCCACTATAGAAAAGGGGAAACTCACTGCCAGTTCAGTGGTGCTTGAAATTCTGTTTTTTCCCCTCAATCTACCTGTTATTTACTTTTGAGACTCCTTAAATGCCTGCCCTGTACATTCTGCCCAGGTTTTATAGCTGCATTCAGTGGGTAAATTATCTTCCCACAAGAAGAACTTCCTATACTATACTGTTTTGTTGGAATTATGCATCAGAGAGGAATTTTTGAAGTCACTCTAAGTAACAAGAGGATTCCAAGTTTAACTAAATCCAAACTAAAATTTAACTAGATTATGCTACAAGTACGAATAATTATGTGACAATGGAATAGATATTTTCCAAGCACGGCTAAATTTGT